ACGAAACTACGCCTTCCTTATCAGTCTAACTATCGACAGCGTGTGGAACGCTTCGTTATAAAAAAAATCAAAAATTTCATACTAAATGCCGAATTGTGTAGTGAAAGGTTGTAAAAACCAATCCTCAAAAAATAAAAAGCAGGATGGAATCACATTTCACACGTAACTATTGGAGAAAACTTACATTTTTAGTAATTTTTAAATAAAATTTAAGTTACTGTTAGGAACACAAAACCTCAGCCAAATATTACCATCGTTAAACGTTATTATTTACCCCAAAATCAGGTAACTTTAATTTTATAACGCGTTATTTCTAACAAATTACGTTACGTATTTGTTTCTTGTTGTATGACAACGATATTTAATATATTTTGCTTTCAAAATGCTACATAGAGATCTAGATCACAGATATTGAAGTGTTAGAATAAGGAAGTAAAAAATAAAAACGTATTTAATTTTTTACTTCTTTATTGTTCCTAAACGGGTTTGCATTAATTTTTAGATTTAAACTGACATCAAAATGTGAAAGAGAAGTGGATTTCAGTCATTCGTAATAGTCGGAATGAACCTTCATTGAATCCAACTTCGCGTAGCGTAGTTTGTTCGACTCATTTTAAGAGCGATGATATGTATACATAAAAGGGTTACGTCGAATAAACAAAACTCATATCCAAAGGTTTCAAATTTCTATATATTAAAATTTTAGTTAACATAGTGAAAGTTTTCAAACTTATCTTTAAAATTAATTATATAGTCTCTCTAATGTATGGCCTCCAATAATAATTACCTACCCTTAAAGATTTCAGAATAACAAACAATATTATTATTCTTTTGTTTAAACAGCCAAAACCAACACATCACTCACATCTAATTGCAATGTCTCCGTTATTTCTGGTAAAATATTAGCGTTGATTAATATTATTGTTATCTTTAAGGTCCCAACTGCAGTATCAACATATCATTTTTTGCTTTAAATCAGCCTTCTACTTCACATACCGTAAGTCAAAAATATTAGCCATATCGTTCGCAAAAATGACTGAGTCATTAAGTGTTTCTAAAAATCCTTGAAAATGAGAAATACCTGTACTTGAAAATAATGTCCACTAAAGAAATATTTTTGGATCTCATCATTTGGATATCAACAACAATCCATTTTAACTGATTGGACAAGAGACATTCCATTGTAAAATAACTTCTGAAGCATGAAATAAAGTAGAAGAAATAAGCCGCCCTGGGTTTATTTACTTGTAAATGGTTTTTAATTTATACAAACACAAGTTTTATATATATACAGTAGTTTTATTCTTGATACACTTTTTCTTTTTCAATATCCTGATATTGACAAACGAATTTACATTATATTATTAAATAACATAGCATTAACGTTAACACTATAACGTCGTAACGTTAAGTTATTGGGGTGTTTTTAATGACTATGGTCACACTGGCACGCACACTACAATTGCTAAAAATCGGCTTCACTTTGTTGTTCAGCGAACTCCGTCTTTACTTTTTATTTGGTCTGAGTGTTTTGACATAAAAAATCCGAAAGTAAATAAGTTTTTAAATAAATACATGCTTAGTAAAGAGAGTGTATGACAGCTGGGGCTGACAGCAAGAACTGTATAAACTACTTATGATATCGTGTCTCACGATAACATAACAAATAAGCATAGAGCGCCGTAAGCGTCGCACGGGAGCAACAAGAACACATTATATTTTTATTAATTTTGCATTCACAATGCCATACTGAAAATTATTCTTAATACAAAATGTTAGGTCCTGGGTAGCTCAGTGGTTAGAGCAGTCGCCCGGATTGCGAAAGGTCGTGGGTTCGATTCCCATTTCAGGGTGCCAGGGACCAAGTGGATTTTTTAAGCATTTTGTATTAAGAAGCACATAAATGTTAAATTTATTAATGAATTTAATATATAAATATCTTTGTTTTTAATATTAATCGTACTTTATCTGTCTGAGGCTTACGCCCCCATTATCTAAATGTGTTACGTACGAACTGTCACTGTAACTGTCTCACAATGACAAAGCAGAATCTGGAATAATTACATGAAGTTGTATTTACAAAAAAAAAACATAAATTTCCATTATTAGTTAGATAGTGTAATTAATGTAAAGACATAATATAGAGAACGAGTATAGTTTATTCATCGTTATATCTTTAAGGCGTAATTTATTTTATCAATAGGTCACTTAATGCGCCTACCACACGTGCATGCTTGACCACAGTTTTACTTGCGCATGCCGGCTTTGGGGTTTGCGCATGCTACCATTTTACCAACTACACGCACAGTGTTCAGTGTACAAGCCGGCATGCGCAAGTAAAACTGTGGTCAAGCATGCACGTGTGGTAGGCGCATAAAGTGACCTATTGATTAAATAAATTACGTGTTAACTTAAAGCAATAATTCGAACATTAATCCCCTGATTTATACAACTATGTACCAAATATTTACATACTATCAAACTTAAACTGTCTCACTATTAAATGAGTGATGAGGGGATATATCTTAATAACACTATGTATCTCTAACAATACTCGTAGCTTTATGTATTTAGAAGGTTTCGAAATGCAAGTCACATGAAAATATTGACTCAATGTAATTGGGAACGATTTGCGATTGCTTACATACGTAACTCAACAGGCACGCAGCAGAAATTTGGATGAAAATTGTTAAGTTTTAATGTCGAATGGCGTTATTCTTATTTTATTTTTCATTTGGTGTGTAAGAAAAACTTGCTTTATATTTTTGTATTAAAATATATATTCTATGAGAAGAATATATGACTCAATTCGTGAATTGATTACATGCTAATTGGCTTTTTATTTTATAAATAAATAATCTATTCATATGTGAGAAATAATGTAGAATTAACTGCGTGTCTACGACTAATAGTGTCGGAGATATCATCATCATCATCAGCCCTTTTACGTCCCCACTGCAGGGGCTCAGGCCTTCCTTATGGACGGTTAAGGAGGATTGGACCATGACCCTCCACGCTGGCCCAATGCGGATTGGAGGGTATTAACGACTGCAAATGCAGCCGGGACCAACGGCTTAACGTGCCTTCCGAAGCACGGAGTAGCTCGAGATAATAAATGTTTGGTCACCCATCCCGTGACCGACCCTTGCGAAAGTTGCTTAACGACTACGACCACGGGCCGCAGCGCTAATCCACTACGCCACCGAGCTATATAGAGCTATATAGCTATATAGTGTTTATGAAACTGCTGCAACTCGGCCGAAAATGCTCCCTGCAAAGCTACGGTAGAGACAAAAGTATGGGCGTCTGGGCAATCTTTGTAATACCTTTGTTATTTGTACATTTATGGTTATAGCTGTTAGAATGAAAGTTGTTACGTTTTATGCAACTAATTTAATGACTAAAGATTTGTCAAACGTCTGATGGCAGTAGTAGTAGATCTGACATCTCGCATTATGAGACGTATCTTTAGTCAGATATGCACCGAGCCTAGGGAACTGAGTAGGTTAAAGTAGAGCAAAATTAGAAACGAAAACCTGTTTAAGTGACTTTATAGTACAGTTTGAGATGTGATTAACTTTAAAAATTCAATTCAGAAAACAGTTGATAGGGTTTTTTTTTGTTATCAAAAACCATAAACCCTTTCCCAACAAAGTCTTTGTAATTGGAACTTTAATATAATAAGTCCATCATTGACCCCATATTTCGATTTTAAAATGTTCAAGTGCAAGTTTGTAATACGACTAAGCAATTGTACGTTATATCGTTTCTTATCTATATATTCGGGTAAGTATCTAGTAATCTCTCATTGTATCATTAAAATGAGTGACAAGCAGAATACTTTAATTTTATATATAATTCTGTATGTCCATTCGAGCGTTAAAAGCCAAGTCACAAAGAACATCGGTTACCTTTTAAATAGGTTACCAGATCAATAAGGAGGTCGAAATGGGAGATTGAAAGTTTGGAAGTTCGTTATTGTCAAAGATAAAAACATGAAACTTATTTAGATATTTAGACACTATGGGCGGCTTGCGCAACATTTGGTCTAAACAGAATTTAGTTAAATGCGTTTATCTTGCTAAATATGTTTAGCCTAAATACAATTAAAAAGTTCTTTTGGACGTCCGTTTGGATGCTAATTTAACTAATCGTAGTTAGGGAGTCGGTAAAGCAGTTTCTTGCGTTCCTTTTTACGTTTTATGTGCGTTCAACACTTGACTTAGAGCAAAATGATTGCATTTCTTAAAAAAAAATGCGTGAAATGGACCGAGGAGCTTTCAACTGTCACATCAAGTCAACCGAGTTGTCAAGTCACAGAAATTGTGTTGTTGTGATTTGTAAATGTGGGGCTATTTGCTGGAACAAAATTATAGTGGTTTCTTTCGTTAGACGAATCCTTCTGAAGAATTTGTCGTTCGAATACATTCCAAATAAGTCTGCTCTCTCAAACAATTCCCTCGGTCAGTTGATATATTCTACAATCTCCTCATTCAGAGTCAGAATACAATTCCCACAAATTCATCTTACAAACTTCCTAACGAACTCTTTACAATCTTTTATAAAATAACAGTAAAATTTGTATAACCTCAAAATAACGACGCGTGATTGCTACTAAACGTATTTAGCGACGCTAAATAGCCATCTTTGGGTATTTAACTTTGACAGTTCGTTAAACGTGATTAGTGCCTAAATTTTTGTTGTGCAAGACGCTAATTAAAATTAGCAGACTAAATGCGTTTAAGTCGCTCTTAAACTGTATTTAACGACGATGCGCAAGCCGCCCTATAAGATATAAATACGCATTTTGAGAATTGTTGTTTAAAGTAAATTAAGTTAAACGATACGAACCAAGTCACGGGCAAAAACTACTCTATATAACACGAAGAACGTCATTACTCAGCAGCAAAATTAATCGTGATAATGGAGAGCAGATAAAAATGCTTATCATTTTGGTGGTTTATAAATAATCGTTCGTTTATATAAAAATATATTTTTTCTCGTGAAATCATATGAACAAGTAGTGAACAAGATGTTTTTGTTATTATCAATATTATTGATTCTATTTTTTTTATTTATTTACGGAAAAAGGAATTTCAATTATTGGAAGAAAAAAGGGATCATACATGACAAACCTTACCCATTTGTAGGCAACAGCTTCAAGCAACTGATTTTGAAGGTTAGCATTACTGACTTTTTTCTAGATATTTATAAAAGATATCCAAATGAGAGATTTGTCGGAGTGTACATGGCAAATAAGCCTGCATTATTATTGAGAGATCCAAAAGATGTTCAAAGAGTTTTGGTATCTGATTTCCATAGTTTCTATTTAAGAGGTATTAGAACATACAACGATGAACCAGATCCAATGAACAGACACCTGTTCGCTGCAGATGGTGATTTATGGAAGCTACTAAGACAGCGTATGACACCTGCTTTCACCACAGGAAAGCTCAAGGCCATGTTTCCTTTGATCATTGAAAGAGCTGAGAAGTTACAGACACTTGCAACTGATGCTGCAAATAAAAACGAAGAGGTGGACATAAAAGATTTAATAGCTAGATACACCACAGATTTCATTGGAGCATGTGGTTTTGGAATTAACATGGATGCATTGCAAGACAAAAATTCTATTTTTCGTCAACTCGGATTAAGAATATTCAAAAAGGAAACGAATGATGTTATAAGAACTATCATAAAAGTTTTGTTTCCATCATTGACGAGGAACATACCAACAATAGCGCCAGAAATAAGAGATATGACTGTTAATCTAGTTTCAACCATTATGAAGGAGCGGAACTATGAACCTTCGGTTAGAAATGACTTTATAGATCTTCTGTTAGAAGTTAAAAAGAAAGGGAACATGGTCGGAGAATCTATAGAAAAAAAAAACCCTGATGGCTCTCCTATTATCGTGGAACGAGAGCTAGATGATTTGTTAATAGCTGCCCAAGTATTCGTATTCTTCGCAGCTGGTTTTGAAACATCATCTTCCACTTCTAGTTTTACTTTACATCAGTTAGCTTTTAATCCAGATAAACAAGAGAAATGTCAAGAGGAAATTGACGAGGTATTGAAAAAGTATGATGGAAAACTTTGTTATGACTCGTTAACAGAAATGAAATATTTGAAGATGTGCTTCAAGTAAGTATTTTGTAGCAGCACTTGGAAATAATCTACAAGTTAATTTTTTTTTTTCAAATCAAATGTATTTATTCGATACAGATATAAGATACTACGGTACAATCGATATCTTGTGTCATATTTTAATAATGTATTTAACTGCTTTAAACCATTACTTAACACCTGGTTTTGTTACAGTGAAGCCATGCGTATATATCCTTCAGTTGGTGTTCTATTAAGAAAATCAGCCACTAAATACACGTTCCCTGATTCTGATTTAACGATAGATGAAAATATTTCTATCATAATTGTCAACCAGGGTATGCAAATGGATAAAAGATTCTTTGATGAACCAGAAAAATTTATCCCCGAGAGATTTAGCCCGGATAACGCAAGTAACATACCGAATCACGTATTTTTACCATTTGGCGAAGGACCGCGAGCATGTATAGGTAGGACATTTTTCATGTTTTGTTCAGTTTAAAGCGATGTCTTTTTTATGTAAAGATTTTAATAATATTTGCGTAACGATTAACGCCTATCGAATGGGTAACAAATACAATACTTATATTACCTATCCAAATATGAAATGTGGCTTGATACTGATTTTATTTTATAATAAAAGTTTCGTTAGACTGGATTACATTTATGATTAAAAAATGATTTATATTTTTCAGGAGAACGTTTAGGGCTAATGCAGTCGTTGGCCGGCTTAGCTGTCATTCTAAGCAAATTCTCGGTTTCTCCATCTAAGAATTCGAAAATAAAACCCATTAATGATCCGCATTCGGGTTTGGCGCAAACAGTAAAAGGCGGAATTCCTTTACAATTGATCGCAAGGAAGAAGACTAATTAAGTTTTAAATTTAATTATACATAATTTTGATTGACTAGCATAGTAAAAAAATGTGTGATAGTAATGTAAAAGATTTTATTTAAATATTAATATTAATAGGTAATATTAATGAAAAAAGACTTTACATTTGATAAAAGTTTGAATATAAGTTTTTTTATCTTATATATACTATCAAAATGTGTCTTTTGCATCGTGACTAAAGTTCAAAATATTTAAGTTTAAATTTTATGATTTTTATTTTGTATTCTTAAACTGTAATAAAATGACGAGTGTTTTAATTATTACAACTGACGACTTTTAAAACTTGATATTGGCAGAAGCATTAGAAATATTAAAGACAATGAATATAAACAAATCTTTTATTTATTGTACTTAATAAGTTACCAATTTAATTAGTTTTAGGCAGTGTTTACTTCAGGTTGCTATAAAATGCCCAGACGAAAAGGCACCCTAACTGATGATAACTGGGGCAAAGGAATCAAATGGGTACCAGGACACTCTGGCATCGAAGGTCATGAAATAGCGGACGGACTGGCAAGAACTAGCGGACGGACAACAAATGGGCCCTGAACCCTTCTGCGGAATTCCGAATAAGCATGCGATGAAAATTTTAAAGGACGACCCTCAACTAGATGCAAATAAATACTGGCACAAACAGCCGGGATTGAATCACGCAGTCTTTTATTGAAAGGTATTTGCAAAAAGTGACTGCAGAGCTTTTGAAGCTAAGCAGAACGAATATCCGAGTGATTGTACGAGCCTTAACTGGACACTGCAAATTAAACATACACCAATTTTTTTTTATGAAGTTAAGTGACACTGTTATCGGGAACGTGAAACATCCAAACATATAGATTTGAATATAAACATGAGCATTTGCCAGAAAAATTATAGACTTCTTGGAGGACACCGGGCTTAAAAAGCTACTATGACTTTGGTGACGAGTCGAAAAAGATCTTACAGGTCGCAGTGACTACAGCTCCACAAGGAATTACATAGCCCCTAAAACTAACAAATTATACACTGATGACGAATGACACTGCAGGCTTGCAGGCTCTTAAAGCATATCAACATCGTAATAGACAGCTTAACCAGTATTTGCGACATACCAATCGTACAATAAAAACTATAGGGGAACAAAGTATTCCATTCACTAAAGATTTGTGTTTTAGGCAGATTCTGCAGAAAGATGACCCAAAGAAAAATGTGTCGTAGTCATGAAATCAGAGGTTGATATTGGATACCAAGAGATACACCTAAGCCGGCAAAAATTGTAAAGTTTGTCACAATTATCTGGAAAACTTAGGCTATTTTCACTTTTCAGTTTTGTCATCTGTCAAACCACACTAGATACTTGTATTTCTTTACTAGTTTATTAATCAAGATTTAAATACAAAAGAAGTCTAAAATAAATTATTTCACATTACATATATTTTAAAGTAAAATTATGTTTGGTGTTTGCTTTTTTCACCTTAGTACTTTAAAAAAGATAGGCATTGCAAAGTATCAAAGTTTTTATTTATATTATGAGTAATACATACCCGGTCCTTAGAATAATACTCATTACGATCTAAAACCGTAATTAATTTAATACTTACGGTTTAGGAATAATTGCATATGTTTACTATATGAAATCATCAAAGGCGCATAATTTTTTTGTTTTACAATAAAATTGCAATTAAAAATGAGCTAAAAAATTGAAACACAATTCTGAAATAAAATTTTGTTACCTCATTTAATTTGAATGATAAAAAATAATATTACTCAAATCACAGTAGTATTGTAAAAGAAAATAATACGTAGATAGTTGTTGACTTTAATGTTTTGTTTAAAAAAACACATTTAATTTCAAAGCGTCAAAGCTGCCAAAGTTGAAGACGCTAGGTGTGCTCGTAGCCAATATTTATTTGTCAAGCTATTTTTGATAACTCGTTTCTACATTAGATGACGATAGTTATGTAGGATAATGGTTTATCCAGGTTTGTACTTTTGATAATAAGTTCCAATATTTATGGATGGTTCTGACTTTTCAATTCTCTGTCTGGCATTTTCCTACTCATTATCAGTGCACCAATATTCTTTAGTATATCGCCGATATATTGCACTGATAAAGTATCGAAAGGCGATCTTCAGGGGTTTATTATTTATCCACAAGAAGATAGTGATTTTATTACGTGCTAATTTTGAAACTTTATTGTTTCTCAAGGTCTTTAACACAAGGAAAAAATGACAATGATACAAGTAATGCATGTAAAATACTTAAAGGTTGAGATATATATAATGACGAGTCATTATATAAATATAAATGACTGGTCATTATATAAATATAAATGACTGGTCATTATATAAATATAAATGACTGATCATTCTATAGATATAAATGACTGGTCATTATATAAGTTTTTATCAATATGTTTACATTATTCGATATCTCACAATGATTTTGCTAAAGAGAACTAGAGAGAACTATAATTTCGAAATAAATTGTTGACATTATAACTGTCAAAAATGCACATTAATATTATCATTAAGAAAACCTGTCTATCTGTCCCGCTTTTAGAACTTAGCGGTTGGGCTGATTATAACAGATACACATAATATGGTTTAACGATTAGCAGATAACATATAAACATATGTTTAGAATATAATTAAGTTTGATAATTTGACTCGCCAGTACCTCGAAAAGAAAAACTGGGGCCTTAATTGAACAGACAGTGATGTTTTTCTTTTCGAGGTACGGTACCATGAAAATACAAACGAAAGCCCCTAAAACGAAATAAAACCTTTATAATAGAAGGCTTAGAGTCATATATTTTTTATAATTACTTGCACTTGATTTATATTGAGTAAGTTTTTTACGTTAGAGTAAATCTCATAAATCTGCTGTTTTTATAACAATACGTATGTATCAAAATTCGGCGTCCGACTCGACGTTGAGACATGAGCATAGAGCTGTTCAATCAAATAAAACTGACTTTACAAGGTAATAAAAGTTTTGTTTCATTAAGCCTCTGTGCCGTGACAGCACTGTGTTGGACGCCGAATTCAAAGTTGATTTTATTACCTACAGAATAATCAAGCAGGTTTGCAACCTTAAGCATTAGATACAGATGCGTCATTCTGGGCAGGGCTCTTAGGAAAGACTGGGAGTAAGTAAAAATGTATTAATACATTTATTTTTCAAATTATTTTTTTAAATTTCAGTATAAAATATATGTAATATTTTATACTAACGTAAACGCAGGTTTTAATTACCGACGTAAAATCAAGGCTTTAAGGTTTAAACCTTCGAAATAGGAATTTCAGATCGTGAAAACAGTTACTAGCAGAGATGTGACTTATCTTAGATACAAGTATTTGAAATACAGATACAAGATACAAAATACGTATTTTCATCTTGTATCTAAAATACTTTTTTTAGGAAGTATTTTGTATCTTGTATTTAAATACTTTTGTTTAGTATCTTAGTATTTTTTAAATACTTTTTCTGATAAAATACTTTATAAAAAGATTATTTCTTACATTTTATAAATATCACACAACATTATTTGCCTAAAACATACATATTTACAAAAAGAAAGTGTTCGCATTCGCATTATGAGTCACAAATAAACTGACAAATCTTCAGTAGTTCGGAAACGAGTGCTGTCATTGCATATATTGAAAATAATTACCCACTGCTTTTCAACTAGTTCGTCATAAAAATAAATTTGTTAATAGACAAAATTCTTCAAAATAATTTCTTTGACATCGTCAATTAATACTCCTTTTTTTTCAAAAATACAACATAATCTGTGATGTTATCGTATAGTAGGTTTTGCTTTAATAAGTAACCATTCAATTCAAACATCAAAAAAACGGGCGGAGTCCTATCTAAATATTAGGTCTTTACCTATGTAATTGCCGTTCTGCTGTACTAGCCATTTAAAATCAAACTATTTTTTTTGGCTGATAATTCTAATATCAAATTATTTTTTCTAAAATCGTCATTTGTTCAATAGTAAGTGTTTTGTTTTCAATGCATTTGAATATTTTTCGTCGTCATGGATAAGTTAAAAATTCGAGTAATTATGGAGTATGTGTGCCATCGTGGCAGCAAAGCGGCTCAAGCGGCACGCAACATTACAACGTTTGCAGAGCGAACACTACAAGCGAACGCACCACCCGTTATTGGTTTGCCCGTTATTGGTTTACGAAAAGGTTGCTGTTTGGTGGTCTAACGCGGATGTATTTCATCACAGCTTCTTACCAAACAGGGCGAGCATTACTGCAAATTTACTGTGTGTATTGTGAAGAACTGAACACAATGACGGAGAAGCTCGCACAACTCCAACCAGGTTTTGTCAATCGTTCGGTTCCACTGCTCCTGCACGACCACGTACGACCTCATACTACACAATTGGCGGTACCCAAGCTACAAGAGCTGGGGTTTGAAGTTCTCCGTCATCCGCCGTACTTAACAGACCATGCGCCTACAGACTTCTAATTCTTCCAGAATTTGGATAACGTCTTAGCGGGAAAAAAATAAATTCCCGAGAGGCAGTACAAAATGCCTTTGAAGTATTTGTTGCCTCCCGTCCAGCTGATTTCTTCAAGAAGGCATCATTAAACTACCAATGCGTTGGCAAAGATGTATTGATTGCATGGGTGATTACTTTGATTAATAGAAATAAGAAAATAAAGCTTCATTTATTTTATTAAAAACGGAAATATCATAGATAAAGACTTAATTGATACTTCAAATCCGGTTGAGACCGGATTTATCCGATCAGATGGTAACTAATGGCGCATTACCAACAGTACCAGCAATACCAACTCTACGTCTTTTTAGGTACATCTACGTATTATAAGCCTTTCCTACAAACCAACGTACTATAATCAACCACAGAAGCTAAGTATTTTCTACTAAAAATTTTCAAATTAGCTTAACACACTAAAGGGGCATAATTTTCGGTAATTCTGCAAAAAAAGTTAATATACGTTCCGTTACATACTATCGCACATTCA